TATATCATTTTAACTTTTTTTTTTCGGACCCCAGACACAGCGGTGTGAGGTAGTTAGCATACAATTTGGCCATGTAGAAAACATCGTTTGTTTGGAACACATCAGCCGAGAGGTAAAGAAAAACGAATCTCAAAAAAAAAAGAAAACTTAGAATCTCAGTTCTAAATGAAATTCAGATTTTTTTTAAAGTTTTTTTAAGTATGGGTAATATATTATTTGAGATCTAGGGCATATATATACACACACACACACACACACACACACACACAGAACAACAACAAAGAGAAGAAGAAGAGGGTGTAGTTTATTACGCATCATAAAAAATGCAATCATTCATCTTCCAACTGTATCTTTCTGTTCTGACTTTAGAGTCCTTGTTCGTTTACTGAGCCGTACTTTGGGAGTCATACTGTTGTGACACTGGGGAGAAAAGGGTATGGTTTGATAGACTAAAACCGTTACACACAATACTTCAAAAATCTAAAGAGTGTGTGAGGCTGTTAGCTGTGTTGTCCAGCAATAAACTTATCTACAATGTGTTAGTAAAAGAGTGACTTGTACTTCTGTCCCATTAAGCAATGGTTTAACAAATTTCACTGCAATCTATAAAAGGATTAAAAGGTTTAAATAGAACATAGTAGTGTTGGATTAAGTGTAGGAAACACTAGTATACAGTGTCTATGGAACAAATCTCCTTCAACATTTGCAATGACCCAAGTGGATGACTACAGCCATTTCTCTCAGTTGATTGTGTTTAAGGAAAAAGCAGCTAAATACACTGAGACTGCTCCACGCTGTTAGTGAGTTAACTCTGGATGTCTGTGGGTTTTGTTAACTTGGAGTGAACAAAAGCAGAAAAACACTAAAAGATGCCGACAGTGAAAGTCTGGTTTATTTCATGAATACAATGAAACATTTTACAGTTTACAGAGCAAAGCAACATATATGATAAATAGATACACATAACACGAACAGTGAGAAGTAAAACTCATCGTCTTACCAGATGTTATATTCTGTAAACTTAAAATAAACCGCTGAAATTAGAGTTGAGTGTTTTTAAGTCATCTATTAAAAACATGAGTCAACATTACTGAAGTCACACTTTAACGATGCTTCATATCACAGTCTTTATGATGAAAACCATGTTCTCTCGTTAGCACATGTCTGCGCTGTCACTTGTCATGAAAATGTCCAGAGTTAGGGTTCAAGCTTCCTCTTCAATTACCATTGATCATTATTAGGGCCCACAATAGATTTGTCACATTATCCCCATAAACAACATGTTTTTATAGAAATCATTGTGACACAAATATTTAGATTCTTGTTTCACAATGTGCATGAACT